CCTCAGCCTGAGGCGCCCCGCGGCGGGTCCCCTTTGATCGACGGCAGCCATTCCAGTTGCACCCCTCCCATCCGAGGCATGGAATGCGCTGGGGAGCGAGTGGCGTGTTAGACGGGGAACTGGTGCGACAATGGCAAAGAGGACCAGGCACTTTATTCACAGTTCACTTGCTGAGACAGCGTCGAGGCAGGCAAAGCAACACTGTCAGAGAGCTTTGCACATGTATATTTTCTTTCAGTGTTTGACTTTTTCGTGGCCCCAATGACCAGATCATGTTGGAGACGGCGCTGCCGGCCGCATCCTAGGTTTGTCTTGTCACGGTGTTTCTGCCTCTGCCTCACTCCTTTTTTCTTTCTCTTTTGTATTCACCTGCATCATCGACAACCTGTCAAACTCCTTCACTACCGACGTCAGGCGAAGGAAGGCCCAATGCGCGCCATGAACCGCAAGTAGGTGCCTAGGACGGCAACCGGCATGTCCGCTCACCGCTTGCTCTTCTTCCGCCTGTTGACCTTGGCGCCGGCCTGGGCGCCCGATGACTTGGCCTTGCCGAGCGAGTCGGTCGACTTGTCGAGCAGCTCAAAGTCCTCGGCGGCCGAGTCGGTGCCGGGCGTGTCGTGGACGGGGTCATTGTCCGAGTCGACGTCGACGAGGTCGAGGTCCTCGGCGGCGGGCTTCTTGCCGAGCGCGCGTCCGACGGTGCTGTTGAAGGCCCAGACCGGGGGAAGCCGAACCCCCCGCCCTTTTCCAAAGAAAGGTTGGGTTCTTTAAGATTCGGGGGGGGCAACCAATCTCTCGGTAGTTTTTTTTTTCCTTCCCGGGTCCCCAATTTGAAAAAAAGGGGGCATTTTTGGAGAATTGGGGCCGAACCCCCCCCCAAGAAGGGACCCTGCCCGAGGTTTGCCCTCCCTGTCCCTGCTCCTCAAGTTCCCCGCGTTCCCCCCTTGATTCGGCGGCGGAGGCCTTTCCGTTTTCGGCAATGCCGCCCTTGCGGGGTCCCGCGGGGGGTTCCCCTCCGTCCTCCCCCCGGGGGTGGGGGGGCCCCCTCCCCACGCTGGGCTTGACCTTTGTGGTGCCCTTCTCCTGCGGGCGGCCTTCTCCCCCGAAGCGGCGCCGGCGGCGGTTGACAGGGAGGGCGGCCTGCTGCTGCTCGTCGTCGTCCGGCAGGGGGAGGGGAGGGCGAGGCGTAGTCGATGCCGGGGACGTCGAGGTTGTCACCCCAAGCCTGGTCGCGGGCGAACTTGATGTAGCGCTCGATAAAGTCCTTGTGGCGGCGGTGGTTCATGTAGAGGGCGAGGTAGTGGATGGGCGCCGCCGGCGAAGAAGAAGACGCCGAACAGGGCGGTGCCGAGACCGGGGCGGTAGCGGTCATAGTAGTAGTTTGTGCCCTTCCAGGCGGGGAAGCCGTTGCGGAGGAAGTGGTCGTAGCGGTCGCGTTCGGGCCCGCTGAGGATGTTGCGGACGAGACTGAGGCGCGACTGGCGCTCCTCGGCGACCTTGACGGCGGCGCGAATCTCCTTCTGGCTCGGCGGCTTGTTGATGTTGACGCCGGGGATGAAGGTGCCGGCCTTCTTGGCGGCGATACGCTCAGCCTTGAGCTTCTGCGCGACCTTGTCGGGGTGAAGGGAGCGCGTAATCTTGCGGAAGGCCTTGCTAATGTCTTCGATCGAGGCCGAGGGCTTGATGCCGAGAAGGTCGTAGAAGCTCTGGTCGGGGTCTTCCATGTGAGCGCGCAGCTCGTCGCGGATGCGGAAGATTTCACGATCTGCGGGAAGAGAGGGGGAACAAGATCAGCTTCAGGGGTCAATGGCAAGGAGAGTGGGTGGGACAGGAGGAGGACACGGTACAAACCTTCCTTGCTCCAGGCGGCGGCCACAGTCACCAAGCCCAAGAGGCCGAACAACAGGGTCATGAACTTCATCGTGGCGATGTAGTACGTCAGGGTCCGTCAGGTGTTGTGTTCGAAGCAGACTGAACGGCGGCGAAGAGAAAATTGTCAGCGAAGCCTTTTCATGCAGTAAAGGGAGGCGAACATTTTCTGACGGAGCAGCTCCCAGGTGAGGGATGTTGCTCGTAAGGGAGGGCGTGTCCTCCTGAGGGGGAGAAGAAATGCCGTGCTATGAACGCAGGGTCAGCTTGGCCAATTGGTGTTTTCGACTCGACTCACAAGACGGAAGGGCAGCCAGTCCCGTTGATGGGCTTCAGGCGGAGAAAAAAGTTGTTGTCTGTCGTCGACGTGGGACGCCAGGTGGTCTCTTGGGGGGGGGAGAATGGAGAAGGGAGCACGGGCAAAGGTAACTTCTTGATCCAGATGCGACATGGACCCTGGCGGCAGCAGGAGCACTGCACCAGCGCAACAGTGGCAGGGGTCACCATCTCCTCCGCTTGCCCTATTTGGGGTCTGGTCCGATCTGTCCATCTGCTGGGTACCTGAGTACCTAACTACCTTAAGGTAAGGTACCTAGGTAGAGTATAAGGGAGTATCGAGATAAGAGTTATGCGGGTAGTGTCATACCCGATTGAGGTAGTACTCGATAGATGCATGCTCTTTGGCCTCATTATGGACGAGGTCTCGTCTTCGCCGTTCTCTTCCTTCCTTCCTTATATCGAAGGATATCATCTGTCTCTTGATCCTTATAATTCCTAGCCCCCAAAAGTGTGAGTAATTTGCTTTTTTATCCCTCAGTCATAATAACAATTATGATGGCTCGAGAAGACACGAATGCAGCGAACCTCCCACGAAACGGAAATCACAACTAGTGAGCTCAACTAATGGACATGGTCCTCTGCTCAACTCCCCTGTGTTGCTGTTATATTTCGCTCAGACTTGCTGTTCAAAACGCGGGTATCTCAAACAATATGGCAGTCTTACTATGGAACAAAGAGCTGGTCAAGTCCAGTCTCACTGTGAAAACACGGGTCCCAAACTCGACCGTCTTCGTTACGGCCACACAAACATAGACATTGTTCGAAACAAGTTCATCTTCAAAGGCATCTCTACTGGTTATAAGCTCCGGTCATTGTGTGGTCGAGTCTCTCTCTCTCTTTCCCTCTGCTCTCTTGGCCACACCAACATCCACTTTCCGCTGGAACCACACCAGCCCAAGACTCAACCGTGCTTATTCATATCATCGCATGCTACCTGACTTACCATACCTCTTTTTCTGTGTGTTGAACATTCCTAATTCCGCAGGTCCTGGACAAGCGTCTCAAAAGTGAATTTTCACCTCAGAAGAAGTTGACACCAACCACACCCGTACGCGTTTTCACAACCCACACAAGCTACACAAATGCCGGGCGCCCAGCTTTGCCCCTTTCATCGGCCCGCGCCTAGCTGCTACTGCTCCTCAAGAGTTTGTCAGTGCATTGAAAGGATCCGTCTTGCAAGAGCAGGCCTGGGTGCCCGCTTTACAACTTGCACAGGCTGTGTGGCCTTGGCCAACGCCAACCAGCGTCACAGCCAGGTATCAACGGGCATTCAGGGGCTGGAGAGCATGGGCTCCACCAGTCTTGAGCGGGCACTCTCCCGATTCCGGATGTTCTTGCAGTCAGACCTGCGTAGCACCAGAGGTTTAATCCATCCCATTGTCGCGCGCCTTGTGCTGTTCGATCGCAGGGCCGAGCGGAGTTTTGATATCTGGATGAACTGGATTTTTGACCACTTGGGCCTGGAGCCCAGCCAGATCAGGATGGATGTCAACTCTGGCCATCTCATCGTCAACAACAGAGTTATCGCCCCTCCTCCTGTTAGACTGACAAGTGCAGAAATCGACCGTCTCGAGCACGAGCTGAAGGCCCGCATCGGAGACGCTCGTTGTGAGGAACGCCGCGAGCAGCGGGACCGCCGTCCCGCGGTTGCTCCAGAGAGCTTCCCGTCACTTGAGAGGGCGGTCAATGACCCTCCTTCAGCCACGCGTAGCTTGCCCAATCCGTACTCAAGCCGTCAAGCGCCTGTTCATATTCGCGCCGAGTCAAGCATGACATCTTTCCATCGAGGACCCAGGGGTAGGTATGAGTTTGAAGACGACACTGACAAATGTCCCCCTCTACGGGGAAGCGTTGGGGCAGCGGCGGGTGCTCGTCCGCCACCGAGACCGCAAGCGTTCCGCCGCTCGAATCAGGTTGAACATCAGGGGGTCCAGCTTGGTAGCTCCCTCAATAGGTCTCAGGGCCGGCCGGCGCCAGTCAACCCATCACGCACTGGGTCTGCAGCTCGAAGTCGGCCCCAGGCGTCGACTCGGGAGGACTTCAGTCCCTATCGACCGGAAAACCGCGGTGCTACACCTGAGCCTGTGCCTGTGTCTGGCAATGGCAATGGCAGCGGCACGACATATGCCCATGAACATAGTGAGTCCGTCTCGGCTCGACCCCAGTCGCGCTTTCTCTCTGCAGAACGATCCCAGCCAACAAGCGCACCGGGATTTCTTCCATATCGTCCCGAGTACCGCGTTGTAACTCCTGAGCCCAGGATGGGCCATCCTGTGGGCACTACTTACCGTCTAGAGCATGAGGAGTCACTCGATCCCCGGCCCATGTCGCAGTTCGGAGTGGGGTCGGGAGATAACTTTAGGCCGCAGGCTTCGCACCGAGTTCGTGGAAGCGGCCGCGGCGAGAGGAGGCTGGTCTCCCCGCCGTTCCCGCGACGAAGCAAGTGTTCAATCACGGGGTTGAAGGCCTTGAGTGGATGCATGGTAGGCACGGTGCCGACTGGAGACTGGATGGTGGCGAGGTATTTTCGTTAATGTATCGAGTTGCTAGTAGGTCCGGGTGTCGTTCTCATCTTTTGCAGCTGTAGACCGGTTCGGGCAGAAGATAGTACTGATGCGGGAGGATGGTACACCAGAAGGAACACATGATCATGTAGGTCAAGGTATGACGGCAAGCATTTCTTTCTAGTGTGAGCACCTTGCACGTAAATCTCAATCAAATCTTGGTATTCGGTTGTTGGCTGTTGGCCCTCGCTCTAGACTCCCCAACGCACGACAGATAGACCTACTTCCTCTTGGTCGCCTCATAGTTCTGCCGCCAGTTCTTCCAGTCCATGGCCATGTCGATATCACCCGCCTTCTTCTTCTTGTTCGACTTGCGCCCCTTCTTCTCCGGCTTGCGCTCGAGCTTGGCAAACTCGGCCTCGACAGCCGGCCGACTCGCCTTGTCGGCGATGAACAGCGTCGATCCGACAATCAGGCTCGCGGCAGCCGCGGCCTTGGCGTGGTCGTTCATCTCGCTGGCCGCAGCCTCGGTGTGAATATCTTTCAGCAGCTGCAGCGTGGCTTCGGCGTCCACCTTGACCGTCTTCTTCTGCTTCTTGTTCGCCGCCCGCGCCTTCTTGAGCTGCTTCTGGTACTCCTTTGTGAGCTCCAGCGAGCGGTCGGACAGCGACTTGACCGTCGTCGTGCGGATCAGCTGGACGAGGGGCAGCAGGGCGGCGATGGCGACGGGGCTGCCGGCCTCGGAGCGGATGTAAATATCCAGCAGCGAGAGGACGCGGCGTTTGAAGTTGATGACGGACTCCTTGGCCGCCTTGCGCTCCTTCTTCTTGCTGGGCTTGGTCTTGATGCGGTCCTTGAAGACGGCCGACAGCTTCTCGTCGAGGGCGAGCATTTCGGAATCGGTCATGTCGGCGTCCGAGTCGGAAGCGTCGGCGTCCTTGTCGAGGCGGTGGCTGTTGAGAATCTTGCCGAGGGCGTCGTCGATGGCCTCGAGGTTTTTGGCTTCCTCTGCGTCTTCGTCTTCGGCCGCCTCGTCCTCCGAGTCCGCATCCGACTCGTCTTCGCCCTCCTTCTCCTCGCTTGTGCCGTCGGCGGCGTTGAGGGTGACAAACTCGACGTCAGAATCAATTTCCAGTTCCGAGGCGTCGTCCACGTTGATCTCTTCCACGTCATCATCTTCATCGTCCTCGTCATCCTCGTCCTCGTCGTCTTCTTCCTCAAAATCTTCCAGGTCAACGTCGTCGTTCTCAATGTCGAACAATGACTGCTGGCCCTTGGCGTTCTCATCCGCCGACAAGACATCGAGAAGGAGCTCCAGCGCCTTGGACGTCACGCGGCTGGCGAAGCAGCCAAAGACCTGCTGCGAGATCTGCCGCAGCAGCACGGAATCCTGCGACACCATGGAGAGGAGAATCTCGATAAGAAACTCGGCCGCCTCGTCCTCGTCCGTCTTCATCCGCGACTGGTAGTCCCGGAGGTCGTCAAGAAGTTGCAACGCGTCAGGCTCGGCGTTGTAGAGCTGGAAGATGGCGATCGCGTAGAGGAGCGAGAGGCCCTTGGCCACGTTCATCTCGTCCGAGGCACCGTCGGCGGCGGGCTTGACCGAGGCGGTTTGCAGCAGGGCCTTGAGCTTCTTACGCGCGTCAGCGACGGCCTTCTTCAGCTTGGCGTCCATCTGGATGTAGTCCGGGCTGATGGCCTCAATGGCGGTGCAGAGATACGTCGTGTCCTCGGCCTTCTTGGACAGGTTCGCAAACGCCGACTGGAGGCGGTTCCGGCTCAGATCCTTGACGAACTCGGACGCATTTTCAGGGACCCAGATCGGCGGCGCGTACGCCAGGGAGATGAGCTCCTGGAGAGCCGCCTCGGGCGCAGCCGTGGCCATCTTGAAGAGATACTCGACGTAGGCGCGCAGCTCGACCTTGACCTTGTCCATGTCCTTTCCGGTTGTGCACGACTTGATGACGGGAGCGCTCAGCACGCCAACGACGTCATCCGCCACGTCGGGCTTGATGCGCTGGAGGACCGTCTCGATCGTCTTGGCGCCCGTCCTGACATCAAAGTTGTAAACGCCGTTGTTGGTGGTCAAGTTTTCGATTATGATGCTCGTGAACTCGGGGGATCGCTGGGCCGCCTGGGCAACGGTGCGCAGGGTGGCGCAGGCGGCGCGGTGGAGGTAGCGACCCTCGCTCGCGGCCTGGTTCATGAGGCAGGTCATGAGGTTCTTGCTGAACATGTGGGGGAGGAAACTTTCGAGGGTCGATTCGTTGCCCTCGAGGGGGTGCATCAACAGCGTCTGCAGGACGACGAAGCCACGCAGCTTCTGGCCATCGGATGCGCTCTTGATGAACAGGTTGTCTGTCGATCGTCAGCCCGGTCTCCCAATCTACGGTCCTTAGCGTCGGCAGGACTCACCATCGACAGCACGCCTCCAAAAAGCGACAAAGTCGGTGACGGCGCCTTTGCTGACGTAGTAGCCGAGCAGGTAGGGCCAGACAAAGTGCAGCTGGTGCGACCAGTTGGCCGTCTTCTTCTTCGTCTTCGCAGCGCTCTCCTCCTCGGCTTCCTCGCCCGACACGCTGTCTTTGAGAATGGCCGGCAGGTTGGGCAGGACCTTGGGATCCAGTGGGTTCTCGACGCCCTGGCCGTCGAGCTCGGGGTGCGTCTCGAGCGCCGCCAGCCAGATGCCCACACCTTCGGGGGTCTTGGTCCACTTGGCGGCCTTGAGCTTCTGGATGATGGAGGCGACAACATCAGCCTTGAGCTTGGGCACCGCCTGCATGACGACCCAGCCGCAGTGCGACCGCAGCCAGACCTTCTTGTCGGCAAGGTCCAGCAGCTGCTGCAGAATATTGTCCCACTTGTCGAGGTCGTCGTCCAGGAAGCCCGCGCGCACGAAGCAGTCGAGCCCGAACAGCTTGCCAAAGTAAAAGTCCCTCTCTTCCTGACCCGTCATGTGTCCCGTCGGCTTGGTCCGCTCGTGGAGGATGTCCAGGACCTTGTCGAAGGTCAGGCCGGGGTATCGGGAGGCGCTCAATGCGTCGCCACCAAACAGCTGGCGCAGAATTTCGGTGATGACGAGGCTGTAGCCGAGACGGGCGCCGGCGCGACCGCTCGCAAGGCCACGGAAGAGGCGCCAGTCGAGGTGGCGCTTGAGGACGTCCTCGGGGACTCCATCACCGTCGAGCAGGCTGGCGATGACAGTCTCGGCAGCGGCCACTCGCTCGTCAGAGTCTTCGCTTCCCAGGAGCTCGTAGAGCCTGGCCTCGCGCACGCGGTCGGCGCCGGCGGACTTTTCGACGAAAAGCTTCTTGTCGTAGAGGTCTTCCGGGTCGCCGCTCTTGGTGCGCTTCGTGGCTCGCTCCGACTCCTTGAGAGCCTCGCGCTCGGCGCGCTTGCGTTTCGCCGAAGCTGTCTTCGTCATGATTACGTCGGAAGGGGTCTCGATTGGCCAGGATCTGGTGATCGGGATCAATTGAATAGCGACGACTTGGGCAACTTGTGAAGCGCATCATCAAAAAATGTCAGCGAGAAAGTTTCTGCCGGTTGTGACCGCCTCGAACATTGGAGCGGCCGCCCCGCGATTTCCCCCCACTGTTAGCCGCGCCTAAGGTGGGGTGTCGTTTCGGTCAACATCACGACCACCATCAACTGTATCGTCGATCATGACAACTTTCCATGTTGCAAACCTGTGTAGGTGGCTCCTTTACAGGCTTGGCTTCCAAGCGTGGCTCACAACCTTGGCCATGTTGGGCCATGCACCCCAAGATATACGGAGTACTTTTCGTCATGAGAGAGATTCTGGCTGGAAGAACTACTGAGCTAACTGAACGAATGATTGTTCCTCATTGCAAGTACCATGTTCAAGAAACTATTTGCTTTCACCAAAATAAACACGGATCTTGCCATGATACTCCATGCTTTGAGAGATCTGGGGACACACAAGCGTGCTGGTCCAGCATGCCAACAGCCAGCTCGGCCGGTGAATTCGTTTCCCGCAACGCCAGCCCTGAGCATGTTCGTCTCTTCTAGTCAGTACCAGAGTCAGCGGCGTCGCCGATCCGAGGATCTCTGGCGTTTCAGTCGTGTAGTACTAGGCTCTTGTGAGGTCGACGCCATCTATCCCTCGACGGCAGACTACCTCGAATAGGCCTCTCGGTACTATAGCTACTCGCCCGGTCTCGTCTGCTCTGACGCGTACGAGACTGCTGGCATCTTCGCCATGGACGGCATCTCAGCCAGTGTGACGGTCGTCTTCAGGTCAACATGGTTCCAGGACCCTGAAGGCGGCCCGACGCCCATGCGCACGTTTGACTACTTTGGCGAGACGACAACCCAGACGGAGGACGTGTATGCAGCCGTGACGTCGGGAACGATCGGGCGCGAATTGGTAGTCACCGCGGACGGGTTGGTCATGGAGGGCGATAGAATCGCGCATGTCACCGATGAGCCGCTGCTAGGTATGGTCCTAGCGCCGTCGATCTTGATGGCTGTATGAGTTGTTGTCTGTAGCGGTTTGCTGGTTGCATGGTGATTTGTACACTTACGATGCTATCAGCTTTACGAGTACAAGTAATACTGCGTAATATCAATCAACCCTTTTGAGAAACAAAAAAATATGGAGGTCTTGTGATCAAGTGATCAAACACTGATTCTGGTGTTGCTCATAAGACTTTCTAATCCTTTGACCTCCGGATCTCATGAACGGTGTTTTCATCTGTAGCCTCATTATAATTAATTCTCCTATGAAAGTGGATAACGGTCAATCACAATCACAATGACAATATCTGAAACGATAATTGCCGTTGTATACTACACAGTTTGTCATTTAAGGTAGTGTATCAAACATAATACTGCTTCAATATCCAGACAGGAAAATTCAAAACTATAATGTGATCATGCTCTGGTCATAGAATACAAGTTCGGATCAAGTAAGCTTCCCCACACAAGATGTTGACGGACAAAAGAATACTGGATAAATTATCAAGACAACGAAGCAGCTGCAACACAAGTTTCACAACCCCAAATACGTCTGGTATCTATCAGGACTGGACAAACAAAGTCATGTTCTTGAAAACCCGAAGAATACGAATGCTGCTTCTCTCCTCCCATCACCAGGCGCAGAGCCGGTACACACCAGCAGTCGGCATCATACCACTACGACCACTCATCGACCATATCTCGCCCCAAACAACCACCACCAGTGTCACCGAACTTGAGTTGCTCACATGAGTCAACGTGGCAGCTTTCTGCTGCTGTATGATTCACCTACACCATCCAGTAGACGTGAGACGTGTGTTCGCCTGTCAATAACGACGACACCACCAGGTAGCCAGAGACCACCCGTCGTGCCACACCGAAACATCACGCTATTGCGTCGATCATGCTCGCAGCCAATGGACCTCGTGCTGGCGTCTCTTTCGACGGCTCTCAAGCAAAGCCGCTCACACCCCCATCCCATTACCACACAAGTCATCTCGGTGACGAGCTCGGTATCTCCCGAAGATTGCGGCCAAGTTTATTTCTGCATCACCAAAGAGACGCAGAGTCCCTTGCTGCGCGCAATGCTGTAATCGTTGTTATCGTCATAACGATGATCTGGTCTCTGAACAAAATGAACCCCGAGCCCGAGCTTCAACTACTCATCTCGGCTCATTTTCCAACCGTCGATGTCAACATAAAAATCTCAGGGGTTGTACCGACGAGCAAACCCCCACAGCACGGCTTCCTGACTTGCACAGGGTTGGAAACGGTTTCCTCTTGGAAGTGAGATTGGACGCTCCCGTCGTCGACCACGATGGAGCACCCTGGAGCCCCCGGAGCTGGCAAGCCTGCTGTCAACCCCGACTCTGGCACGCGGGTGGCGCCACGTAATCATCTCAGGGTCTCGACAGGTAGCGCAGCCCGGTGGCATTCGCGCTTGAGGCGCAAAATAGTGAACTACGGGATATAGAGGAAAGGGGAAAGAGACGCAGGATAATCTGGCGCGGAATGCCACCACAGCGGTTGTGGCACAGGCCTTGAAAAGGAGACGTTACGGTGGCCAGTTACGCCAGTGTTAATGGCCGACTGTGCCCGCGTGACGAACGTTCCTTGCAAAGATTAAACTCGCCACTCGAAGAGCTGCCGGGATGTTACGGTGTCATTTACGTAGAATTCCGTAGGGGAGGAAAGCGCCGTGGCGATGCGATCTCGCCTCCAGAGAACCCGACAAGCGCCAGGCACACCCGCTTCTACCGCCAAAGCGCTGAGACACGGACGCCATGTGGCTACGGCAGGCTGGGGACCCAGATGAATGGAGCCGACATCTACGGATATCGCGCGCTGGAATGCGTCGCGGTTCGCTTACGGCATATGCACCCCTTAAACCACATTCCCGAGAAGGGTCCCGTGTTCAGGGCCCAGAAAGCTTGGCAGGCACCAAGTACATAACATGGGACGCCCATGATTCAGATCGTACGGCTGCTTCATAGGGTGAGGCAGAGGCGGAGCTTCAGTGTTGGAATGCGGGAAGACGCCGTCAGGTCTTGGGGACGAGGATCGTTTGATTGCAATGACGTCGCGACACCATGCTGCAGAGGATATCATCAAGCTGCGGTACCACGTTCCTATGCTCGGGCCGAAGACCCCGGGTGTAAGAGCCATAGAGTGAATCAGGCTGATAGTGGCGTCCTATTCATGATCAATTGTTCGTCTACAAGGCGCAACCTGCTTGAATATCATGGCTTGAGGATGCACTGCATCGGAGTCAAGCGTGAAAAGGCTATGCGATTCGAACCACAACCTTGGCGTAAGTTCCCGCTGGCCAGTCTCTTGTCTCCTAGGTCATATGCCGAATACACAAAATGCGCCGGCTTGTATTCCGGAATCCATGGGTATAGCTCGGTCAAGCCACGCTTTTGAGCACTTGGGACATGCCTGGCACCGGTTCTGTCGTGAATGAAGTTGAGGGCTAGTACAGCTGACGTGCTCAGAATTGAGACTTCTGTCCGGCGTCGGCACCCAACTCTTCAGTCCACGGAAAGGTCCCGCTACGCCAACCTTGGAATGTTCTGAGCTGTCTGCAGGCACCAGGGTTATGCCTTGCAGACACCCATTCCCTGCAACAAAATTGGGCTCGAGCCATCTCGCAGCATTGCTCGTTTAGGGAGTTAGCCTTGATGTGCCTTGACATTGCGAAGACTTTGGACAACTCGCCCAGCCATCTTCGATCTGGGCCGTGATCGCGCATGCCAGTCTCTATGGTAGTAGCATCACGAACGGAGATTACCGCCGAACTGAGGTTTTGGCAATGGCGGGTGTTGAACACTGTCATCTTTGTACCAAGGTCGTCAACCTCCTCCGTCTTGTGGCGGGTGTGGAAGGGGTGTAATAGTTCGCCAGTTCCCAGGAATTCGGGAAGCCGCCGTTGTCGAAGGACTCCAGCGGGTTAAATGGATCGCACACGTGACCTCGCGTGTGTGCAGGGGTCTCGGCGCGTAGCTGTGATTGTTTACATGGATCGCGTCACTTTTCTTTGTTTACTCCGCACTCTGCTCTGTGATCCCCTCATAATCAGCCCCTCCTCGAGGTCAGCCCCCGTCACACCATCGCACCGCAGCAAGCTTACCAAAGGATTGCACATGACCACTGAGCCGGGGTTCGGTGAAGAACGCATTGCTGCGACATGTTTGGATGCACCTAGGTTCTAGGATTCGGCAGACAAGTTTGCTTTATGCTGTTGCAAATATGCTTTGCCTCAAACCTCGGGAGGGGGGACCCCTCAGCCACCCGGAATCCAGAGAACGGCGTGGAAGACTTGGAAAGGTGAGGCCATGTTCCACATTCCGCATTCTGATGGGGGGAAATCCGCTGCTCCAGAGCACGGCTGCGGCCCCTTTCATCCCGACTGTAGCAGAAGCTTGCAGCTTGGTCAAACTCAAGTGTCCAAGCACGACAGGCTAGCTCTGCACAGCGGACGAGGCGATTGGGTGCGTCTATTGGCCAGATGTCTTACCGCCCAGTAGTCCGATGCAGCGTCCAGTCATATCGTGAAGCAGGTGCACAGTAGATGTCGATGGGATGCAAAGAACAGGAGGGGAGGCAATGGCCCGCATCTCGTGCGTTGGCAGCGCCTCCCATTGAGCTCTAAGAAGCTCAAAGGGCTGAGCTGGCCACCCATGATACGGACGAGCTAGTGTGAAGTAAACAAAGAGACAGAAGCGAGAGCGAAAAAAAAAAAAAGCAAAGCAACAACCGCGGCCTGGATGGGAAACCGGTTTATCGTATCTGCGCATGAAAAATCGATGCTACGCCGTCACCCTTTGTGTTTTGGGACCATGCAGATGGTTCGGTTGAAAGGGCAAAGTGGCATGGCAGAAACTGGGCACGCAGAGCAGGATCTCGATATGGGACACGCGGTGCAGGAGGTTGATGGAGTCGGTGACGATCTGTCTATGCTGATGCTCCGGATGACGTCGATGAAAAGCGCGGACCTAGGTTGGGGGATCTGAGGGTTGGGTGAGGGATCGAGCAGGGCCGCTTATTCGGGCCCCACGCTCGGTTCAGACCAAGACTGTGTGCCTTGGAAACCTCAATCAGGCGTTGCGTAAACTGTCGGCATTGATTCAGGGCTGGCCATTGTGACTTGCTACCGGACGTGTCGTGGCCCGGCGGCTGCAGACAATAGTTGGGTTTCTAGGATGCGCTAAATGGGTTCTCCCCTTGAGAAGGGAGACGCACCCAAGGGAGTAGGGACCTGGTACACACGATCAGCAAAATCTCCGGACGGGTCGAGGGTCTGGTCTCGGGCGACCTCGAACTCTCGCCGCTCCATCTTGGCAGAAAGGCGATTCGTCAGCTGGAGACCGATGGCGGCTGTAACCTGAATATTTTGACGAGCGAATATCATCATTTGATTCTTTAGTGGGGCCAAGGCGAAGCCCTGTGGTGATGGGGGCAAACGTCGATGTGTCGACAATGGTGAGTCGAGCGCGCGCGTGCACATGTCTGGGATCCACGGAACACAACCGGAGTAGCCGTCAAAGACGAAGCTCGCTTTGGCACACAGCATACAATGGGCGTACTCAGGACGAGTAGCGAGCGGCCAACTGGGGTCCGAATTTAGTCAATGAGACAGCTTCCAGCTGAAT